CAGTGGACATAACCCATAAGCATTCATGAAACAAATTGCATGTATTTAAAACAAAGAAATAAGATCTGACTTTAAGCCATATGCCGCAATAAATAGCACATGCGCCAACATGTGGCACAAAACCATAAGCCCAAACCTTCATTGTGTCATGCGTCACGGCGTGTTACACCATACACCACGGCGCACAAGTCCGAATTTACTGCTGTCATTTGACAGCAGAAATGATGAACTTCTGATGTGCACCGTTTTCACATACAATTTTCAATCAAAGTGATTTAAGCTCCCACACAAAACTTATCTCATAACTAGCTAATGATATAGGTTTGGACACAATCTAACGGTCCAATCAAAATTTAGACACCCAAGTGTAAAAATTCACTTTTCTTGAAAATTTTGCACATTCAAACTCTCAAATCGATCCATTTGTATTATTAGACCTCATAAGGCTTTGAACTAAGTCCAAAAAGACCTAACATACTTGATTAACTAGATTTCATCACATATATATACGTATATCAAAATCAATCACTTTTTGGCTCATTTCCATATTTTCATAACTATTCACCACATGGCACAAAAGCACTCTTTTGGCCATTTTTACAATTTCACCACTTTCACATATTCACCACATATGTACTACTACAATCTTAGCCCAATTAATTATTTCACCACACATATACACATATAGGCTAAAATTTCACAAAATCACTATACTTTCCATAAAAACACAACTCAAACATGCATGCAATCTCCTATGGCAACTTATTTACACATATACACAAGTTTTTAGTTCATTGCACAATCTTAGAGACCCTCCACAACAATAGCACCACTATGCCAGTCCAGACTCTTTTCCCTTGCCTTGATCACTGCTCTATCACGTAAAAATCTAACCATGGAGTGAGATAATAATCTCAGTAATAGAATAACTCACTACTAACAACTATCACTTGCAACTATATGAAAGCATAGCATATTATATAGTTAAGCATAGCATAATTAGATGTTTCATTTTAAATCACAACAACATATGTCAATTCACTCTTTTTCCACTTATTTTTTACTTTTCACCACTTTTCCACATATAGCATGACACTACCTATTGAGCCTCCAAATCACCTCGACTTGAAATCATAAGCTCACCTAAGACCAATATATACTCTCACTGGCCTTGAGCTCACCTTTAGTGGTAGAATCACTCGGCCAAAAGTATTCTATCGTACTTTCAAAATATGGTTTCGCTAATACACACAATGGGGTGTGCTTGACTCTAACACCATGTTACATAGACACTAAGGAGTCTAAATCTCCAATACTGCACCTCAATAGACATGAAGAAGATAATCTCCAACACCGCACCTCGAAAGGACTAAGGAGATATAATTCTCCAACTCCGTACCCTGTTGAACACTAAAGGGAATATGCCATATGGTCTTATCACTACATCTCCACTTGGGTGAACTCCCACCCCTATGAGCATGCTTTCCGAACAAATCATAGGTCCCACATTCATACATGTATCCACAACACATAGCGTGTATATATATATACATGTAAAGTATAAAATTACTTGTTTTCACTCCTTTATTTGATCAAAAGCCATTTTCATTAAAGATTCACACAATGCCATAAAACACGCTTGGCTTAAAACAATTTCATACACAAGAAAGCATGCTCATACACAGTGACAATAAATAGTCAAATAGAATAAGTTATTTGGTTACCTCAACCCTTCTATCAGGAGAAAGGTTACCCGTGGATTTCAACCACCACTATAGCTCCTCACAAGCTTCCTTTCTTAACTCAAATGTGTGATATGTCAATCTACACACAATTGGCACAATCAGTCATTTAGTCTAAATTGACCAAAACTATTTAATTACTACCTATGGCTACATTTAGCTGTCTATTTTTTTCCATTTATCCATTTTAGGTTCATTATTACTCGATTACCACTTTACATCACCTCAATTAATTTCATTTCATCAAACATGATTTTTACCCTAATTTCCTCTTAATTTAGGCCAAACAGAGCCTACGGGTTCAAAGCTCTATCGTTTAGCTCTAAATTAGTCGCAAAGCTCTAATTTAACTCCTAAGAACCTTTTTATTACTATTGGGCAAGAAATAAACCCTCAAAATTTCACCAATTCAATTTACCTATAACTCATATTTAGAGAAATTTGAGTAGAAATAAGGGTTATATGTAACTTACCTGATAAGTTACTGATCAAAAGTGCCTTCTACGACTCTAAATTTTCTTGCCCTAGTAGCCAAGCCCTTCTCCTCTTCTCCCTTTCACGTTTTTCTGATTTCTCTCTCTAAAATTGACCCTAATTTCACGAATTAAGGGGTCATTTTTTGGTCAATGTGCTGAGGCGCATGCAACACTAGTCGTAGCGCATGGCACAGTGAGAAGAATTCTCACCACGCGCACTTGCTTTGACTCAAAATGCTATCCTTCCACTCGTATTTGTTCATTTATCATCCTAAAGACATAAATCATCAACTAATCATCCAAATCTATAATCCCAGTACCCTGATTAATAGCTAATCACAGGATTAGAAAATTAGGATGTTACATGTCGCATATGCAATTTATGCCGCGGTACACGTGCCAGTTCATGATAGCATTTTGCTATCATAATAGCTTTTCAAGGAGAACTTTTGTTGTGCACCATTTTCACATCCGATATCCGATTGATTTCAATAAGCTAACTAATAGTATAAGTTTCATTATGATCCGACATCGTATGAAAGATGTGAACACCTAGATGCAAAAGTCATATTTTATAACCGATATAGGGCATCCAAGTGCCCAAAACTCAAAATTTATACACCATTAACCAATTTTGAGGCCAAATTCCAAAAACATGACATCAAATCAAAATGTTCAACCTACATTTGTACTAGTATCTCATCCCTCATTTTAAGTTTATCACAAACACACTTCTACATCTTAACACATCATTCTAGCAAAATCAAATTGTATATATATTCCTACTAGGCTACTTATAAACATATTTACATATATACAAATTCACTACACAAATAGTGACAGGGCGATATAGTAGAAGGTTTACTAAACATGGTTTATATTTAAATGCATTTGCAATCCCATTTTTAAAGAGTTTTATATTTAACGTTATACCTCCAAACTATAAAATGATGGTTGAGCCTTTCTACCATGGTAATGTTCATGGATTAGAATCCTTTTACCATGGCAATGTAGATTAATTAGTGGATAATTTAGGAGACTTTGCATATGCCACCACAAAGAATCTCGTGGTTGGCTTCTCCAAAGGGCCCATTTTCCTTTGGAATGGGAATTGTGAGATATAGGCCACCTCCTTTAAGGAGGGTAGTTGAGTTTTGTAGGCACTACACCTTGGCCAAGTATACCCTTGGATTATGGCTTCAACTAGCAATCTCAGTCAGAAGGGATGTATAAGGTCCGGTCAAGTGAAATGCATCACGTTTGTTCATTTGTTGAATTGTTTGTTGATCAAATCATTGTGAATTGGATTGCAAACTAAATTTAGAAAATGGCCTGTGTTTACAAATATTATGAGTTGTGCTTTATGGAGTTGCTATGTAAACATAGGAATATTTTCTATCTAGTTTTACACTAAATTGCTAAGGTATATTTGAATGCCAAATGTTACTGAAACTCTTGAGTTTCATTATGTTGCTTTACCATATTCAAGTGAGGACCAAGCTAGGTGTCAAAGAGAGGCACAACAAAATTGAGTTCGAGGACTCAACCTGTTGTTGTGGCACTATGGCCACTTTGCTTTCTATGTCATGACTTAGGACATGTTTTTATTTTAGTCTAACCATGATGAGTGTGTTTTAGACATCATTGATTTTTGGATTATGTAAAAGGGGTTGAGCCTGTACTTTGGATATTTCTTTAAAATTGAGATTAATATGATTAATTACCCATTTGAGCTTTTGTTGGATATTTTCATGGGCTTCGTTTGCACTTGGCCAAATTTTTCTAGGAAAAATGACAATAAAATCCATTTAAAATATATAAATGATAATTTGGTCTATCAAAATGTCATAATTTTTCTGAAGTCTCTAGAGAATTTTCTGTCATTAATGAATTTATATAAAGTACGAAATTACTCCTATTGAAAATAAATAATTCACAAGTTTTGTTTAAATATTCACAACTTTCCTTCTTATTTTCGCAACAATGCAACAGCAAATAATGAATTTAACATGCGAAGTTGTGATTTGTCGTTGTATTGTTGTGAATATAAGAAAGAAAGCTGTGAATATTTAAACAAAACTTGTGAATCATTTATTTTTAATAAGAGTAATTTAGTAATTTACATAAATTCATTAATAACAAAAAAAATCTCTAAATACTTTAAAGGAGTTATGACATTTCAAGAGACTAAATTATTATTAATATATTTTAAAAAAATTTTATTATATTTTTTTCATTTTTCTATTGTTGGGATCCCATTGTCAAGTTATGTTGGGATCTCATTGTTTATGGACCATCCTTTGTGGAGATTGCTGAGACCAAAGAGTTGATCTTTGGTGATCGACACATTGAGATTCTTCACAGTACTCGAGAAGCATTGCGTTGCGCCGATGTTCTTGCTAAGGAAGCACATGCTGGCCCCTTCGAAGCGGTCATGCTGTCCACCATGCCTACTACTTCCAAGTCACTACTGTATCCAAGAATATTAAGTTTTAGAAGTACATATATTTCTGTACTAATTGGAAAACTTGTTATAACCTAAATGACATTTTTAGATATTTTTTAACATAGATTAACATTACTGGCAGTCTCTATGATGGGTAAAGTATAATGGAATAGGGGTAAGGTATATGTGATGTAAAGAATAATTTGGTGGCCATAAAATTGTCCTTATATTTTTATATTTAAAAAAATAAAAATAACTAAGTATATTGAGTAAAAATGATAAATGTGTGATAAAAATTAAAAATTTTGGAATGTAAAAAAAAATAACAAATTTCCATGATACAAGAAAAAAGAAATACGTTTTCATTACAAAGCATAATCTTACAAAATTAGATGATATTTACAGTCAAATTACATGATCATCAAAGTTCCATCAAAAAGAACACCTTCAGATAAGCTTCGGGCATAAGAGACTCTGGAACCATGGAATATAGATTGCTTGCTGTTGTAGACAACTATATGCAAAAATATTCAGTAGCGTGTACAGAGGTTAGAGCCTATACAGACACACACACACACACACACACACATATCCACCATATGCCACAAGTGGTGCATGAACATGGCAGAGCCACAGGCCATGAAAGGGAACGCAACTGAACTCTGCTGCTGCCTGCTGGTGCCAACACGAGTTATTTGAATGCCATTTCAGCCTGGCTGGCTGTCCTTTCCACCGCCAGCCACCATTCCTCATCTTCGTCATCAATTATCTGTTTTGAAAACCCATTTGATGGAATCAAATCAATCAATGAACATCACCAGTTCATGTAAACTCTTAATACATGTGTGTGTGCGCGTGTGTAACAATCAAGAGCAAATCATAACTTCACATGTTAAATTCTTTATTTGCTGTTGCATTGTTGCGAATATAAAGGAGTTATTTGTTGAGAGATCAAATTATACCTCAAGTGGAAAAGTTTAGATATTTGGGAGCCATTATTCAAAATGATGGCGAAATCAATGGAGATATTTCATATAGAATTCAAGTTGGGTGGTTTAATTGAAGAAAAGCTAAAGGAGTTATTTGCGACCGTAAGGTGCCTAATAAACTTAAAGAAAAGTTTTATTGCACTGCTATCAGACCGGCAATGTTATATAATAGTGAATGCTGAGCTCTAACGGGACAGCAAGAGCATAAAGTTAGAGTAGCAGAGATGAGAATGTTACGATGGATGTGCGGACATACACGTAAAGATAAAATTCGAAATGAACACGTACGCGAAAAAGTGAGGGTGGCACCTATTGAGGAAAAAATTGTAGAAAATCGGTTGAGATGGTTTGGGCATGTACAAAGAAGACCAAGGGAGGCACCGGTGAGAAGAGTGGAACATATAACTTTGAGTCCGATTAAGAGAGGTAGAGGAAGGCCTAAGAGAACACTTTTGGAAGTTATTGAACGCGATCTGTTAATTAATAATATTCTTAAAAGCTTGATAAATGATAGAGCACAATGGCGTCTTGCAATCCATATAGCCGACCCCACCTAGTGGAGTAAAGGCTTGTTGTTGTTGTTGTTGTTGTATTGTTGCGAATATAAGAAGAAAAGTTGTAAATATTTAAACAAAACTTGTAAATAATTTATTTTGAATAAGGACAATTTGTTAAATTCCTTTGTGCATGCATATTATTTTCTATACAATATATTATTAGACATTTTTAAAAGTTGAAGAGAAAATGAAATTGAATAAAAGGTGGGAAACAAGTAATCGATCAATAGACTAACCGTAGTTCTGAGTTCTGTCTTCTTTTGCTTATTCTCAACTTCCCCAACAGCTTTTAATGCTTCTAGCCACCAAGAACCACTGGGACTGTCTGCAATATTATCATTGTAGGATGGGAATTTCCGTGCCTGATCATCATTAATAACTGGATGTCTCTTGTCATTATCTACCGGCTGCTCATTATCAACCATCCCAAATGAATTAAATTCAATTGAAGAACCATAGATTACTTCAGCTGGAAGGGGTCGCAAGGGAGATCGATAACCTGGTCCCATCAAATCAGCTTGTTAAACGGGAGAGGACGAACTTAAGTCAATGTTAGAGAAACTAACTTGGTCACTGAATTGTTAAGCATATTTAGATTTAGTCCCCACAACTTAGTGAATTACATGTTAGCCTTTTAAAACAAAAAGTCTTTTCAAGAATTGTGTTCATCTCAACTTGACAAGACGATTTATACTCCTTCCATTCCGCATCTAACTTTATAGACTTCGGTTTTGTTTCAAAACTATTGTTCCTAGTCAGCTTGTTTATTTTTAAAGATACTTAACATTATTCTTTCCTAGTCATCTTCTTCATTTCTCCCTCCCTATTTCTGGTTTTTCTCTACTCTCTCCCTCTGTTCAGATCTATGCCTTGGTGTGTGTGCGTGTGTTGCATCACACCCTCATTTAGAAATTACATTTCTGTCTTATCAACTCTTATTTTCATCTATCACCTTTTTTTATATGAATCTTCAACAACAATAGATATGGAACGCAGTTAATGTTATTTTCAGATGCTAGCTCAGTGCATTTATTAATGTTCAAAGAATAAAGTTAAATAGACCTAATAACTCAAGGATCAAATCATTATATTTTATGCTAACCTCTGCAGTCCGGATCATGACATTTCTGATAATACGCTGCCCTTCTCAAATCAATAGCATACATCACTGGCCATCCAAACATCCCATTAGTAAGTTGCGAAATTCTGACATAACAATCAAATGAAAAACAAGATTTTCATACACCATGAGAACAGAAACTAAAGAATTATTGAACTTTTCGAACATTCGCAATTTATGACTTCTGAAGATGAAAAGCCTGGACTCACAAATAAGAAAAACAAGAACGTTTATGCAAATGATATTCCTGATGGTTAAAAGCTTACCATGATTGCTTTTATGCTCCCTCCCAATTCGTTCACAGTACCGATTCCTTGACATGCTATATACTATCAGTCCAAATTCTGAGAACCAATACCAAGCTCGAATTTTTCCTAAAATTGCAGGAAGGCATCAACAAGTTGAGCAAGATTATATTCCCAGTATATAACTTGACAAATAGGCTAAAGCATGATGGAAACTTGGATAATATTGATTATATAAGGAAGAATTACAGCTCTTCAATTGAAATGTATATATATATCAAAATAACTGTTCCCTATCTTTGATGAGAAACACGAGAACACAGGAAAATAAAGGGAAAAGACAAGACATGAAAGCTAGGGCTAAATGAGAAATCCCGTGACTTTCTAGAGCTCAGGGCCTCTCACAACAACACTAAACCTTGCCTAAAGCATTCTGTCGCAGCAGAGCCCCCTACACACCCTGCTCCACTTACCCTCTCACTTCAAGAAAACAGAGAATAGTTGCTTTGATCCGATTCTGCTTTCTATACCAGAACCACCATGAGTAAGGAACACTTTAGAAGTCCCTTCGGCTTTTCTTCTCTCATAAACCTTTCCTCACCTCCCCCCGCAGGCTTTGTAGAAGCCCTCTTTGTATATATCAGCTGATGTCAGCATGAGGCTCAACAAAGCATGAAGCCGAAAGCTGAGTAGGATATAATTTCCATTGATATTTGGAGACCCTAAATTATAATTATTGCGCGGAAAAACTACAAAATGATCTGCCTAATTCCACCACCATAGATACAATTTCAGAAAGTGGCTTAGTAAGTTGTCTTTGGAAGATAAAAATCAAGAGTCAGGTGATCAACCGGCGTATGAATTGAGCGGTTGAAATTGTAAACATAGGAAATATTAATTTGCATTCAGAAGAATAGAACAGACTAAAAACTTGAAGCTAGACCAACAAACAAGAAGTCACAAAGCTGCTACCAAATATCAATTGAAACTATTTCTTCTCTACAAATTCTTTTTCCAAGATAGTTCTTGCTTCAGATCTGAAGCTGTATTGCCCTCAAGCAAGGAGCAAGATTAAAAGTAGCAAGCATAGTTGAAACAAAATCAAACTGGCAATTTGTCCACTAATTAAATCAAACTTTAGAAGTATGTATTACCTGATATATTCCCAACAGAGGCAATGGACTCTACAAATTTGTCTAGAAACGGGAATGGTGATTTTCCCACAAAGTATGCGGTTGGAGCATCGCTTTCACGACTATTCAATGTGAATTCCAGAGGATATTTGTGACAGTTTTCATGATTATAATTCACCTGTGAAAATAAAGTTCCCATTGTTTATTGACCAAAAACAGAAAAAGTTCACATGGTTTAATTGAAAAAAAAAAAAAAAGATTTGATACACAAGAAAGCCACCACTATGTCCAGTTATGCGTGATCAAAGTGTTAAAAAGATTTAGTAGTTAACGGAGCAGTACTAGGTACCAGAGAACAGCCCCTTGTGAAGAAAACCTTATGACAGGCTTAGGCCTTGGTATATGCACCAACTTTCACCATATCTTATACTGAATATTGATCAAAAAGTGAAAGATATAAAGACCATTAAATTGTTTGAGTAACGAAATGTCTGAAAAGAGAGAGAGAACAAAAGTAATGCAATCAAAAATCAACAATTTTAAAGCCCAAAACTACCTCTGTATCATATTGTAGTGTCTTCACACAATTTGATTCTGTTTTCCAGAGTAAATACTTTTTGCAATCAGCATCTATATTGCAAATCAATGATGCCATGAACATGTCTTCTTCACCCTGACATTGAAAGACAGATAATCTGATTCATAACTGACTATGAAGGAAACAATTATTTCACCAAAACAACAAATATAGCAAACACTATAATTTGCTCAGGATGATGCATATTTTAGCAACTTTCACTGCACTGGATTTGAACATGCAACTCTGGTGTTCAGAACATCTTAGGAGATGACCTGGTACCAACACATGCTATTATTCATTCCACATTACAATGATGTAATTTTGAAAACTTGCATAGTGTAAACAAGCACAGAACAGACTAATTCTTGTTGAATAATATGTGATCATGCAACGTATGTTGTTATCTGATCCAAACATTCTGATTATTCCCTGATAGAACCAATCCAAGCAAGAAGAATTGATAATGGAAAAATACTGTGATTCTCTATTGCCAAAGGAAAAATATAGAGAATACACCCACTAATATCAGCTTACTTCCTAATGAAACAGTAACCAAAACACAAATATCACCCACACACTACCTGGTTTTCGAGAGACCAGGACCTCTCCACTCTCAAAATAAATCCTCCCTACCTATTCCTCCTGCCCTCACCCTCATATACGCACTACCACTACTCTGACACTGTCAGGACAACCGTTACCCTTTACTGTGACCATTTTGCCCTTACTCCACTCACTGGTTGTCTTGGGCTTTACTTCCTTTGGACTTTCTTTTATACACCGGACCCCATCTCCAAGCTTTAGGCCCATCATTTCCCAAGTAAATTGAAAGCGAAAAAGTTAGCAAAATTGGAGACAGAATTATTTCCTTAAAAATGATAATTGGACGTGAGACTGTTAATATTGTTAGCGTTTATGCGCCGCAAGTCGGGACAGAAGCCAGTCTTAAGGAATTATTTTGGGAGGATATGGAGGGGTTGATTCGACATATACCACAGAGTGAAAAGATTTTTATTGGAGGAGACTTTAATGGGCATGTTGGGAGGGAAGCTGGTCAGTATGCGAGGGTGCATGATGGTTTTGGTTTTGGAAAGCTAAACAATGAAGGACAAACTCTTCTTGATTTCTCATTGGCGTATGATTTTAAGATTGCCAACACTTGTTTCAAGAAGAGAGATGAGCATCTCATCACTTATAAAAGTAGAGCCTCAAGGTCACAGATTGATTTTCTTTTGGTTAGGAACATAGATAGAAGACTTTGTAAAAATTGTAAGGTGATCCTCGGAGATGCTGTAACGACACAACATAGGGTCCTAGTCCTTGATGTGTGTATTATGAGTAAAATCCAAAAACGTCGACAAGTAGTAACACCAAGGATTAGGTGGTGGCAATTAAAAGGTGAGAAGCAAGATATTTTCAAGCGAAATCTTTTGGATAAAGGAATTTGGGAATCTCAGGGAAGTGCTAACATCATATGGGAGGATATGGCTAAAAAGATACGGGAGGTTGCAAAAGTAGTTTTGGGAGAATCGAAAGGTTCTGGTCTGAGAGATCAGGAGTCTTGGTGGTGGAATAATAGTGTACAGGACAAAATCAAGTATAAGAAGAATTGTTTTAAAGCCATACATTTGTGTAACAATGAGGAAAATTGGGAGAGGTACCGTATGGCTAAGAAGGAAACTAAGAGAGCTGTGGGTGAAGCTCGTTCTAAAGCTTTTGAAGAATTTTATAAGAACCTTGAGACGAAGGAAGGAGAGCAAAATATTTTTAAAATTGCCAAGAGTAGGGAAAGAAAATCAACAGATCTAGAACAGGTAAGGTGTATTAAGGATGAAGAGGGAAGAATTTTAGTTACAGATGATGAAATTAAAAATAAATGGGAAACTTACTTTTCTAAACTTTTCAATGATAGAGAGGATTCATCTAATAACTTGGAGGATTTAGTAACTGGTGAAGGAGAACAAAATTTGTCATTTTATCGAATAATACGTGATAAGGAGGTGAAGGAAGCTCTTAAGAAAATGGCAAATGGTAGAGCCAACGGACCTGATTGTATATCTATTGAAGCGTGGAAATATTTAGGTGAAGAAGGGGTGAGATGGTTAACTAAGTTATTTAATGTGATTTTACGGTCCAAGAAAATGCCTGATGAGTGGAGGAAAAGTACATTAATTCCTATTTATAAAAATAAAGGAGATATTCAGAATTGTACTAACTATAGAGGGATTAAACTCATGAGCCACACAATGAAATTATGGGAGAAAGTAATTGAGCACAGGATGAGATTGGAGACAAGTATTTTTGAGAATCAATTTAGTTTTATGCCAGGTAGATCAACTACAGAAGCGATTTATCTACTAAGGGAATTAATGGAAAAGTATCGTTGTAAAGATAAAGATCTACATATGGTTTTTATTTATTTGGAAAAAGCTTATAACTGTATACCAAGAGAAGTGCTTTGGAAAGCGTTGGAAAAAAAGGAAGTACGGATTGCTTATATTAAAGCCATACAAGATATGAATGAGGGGGTAAAAACTAGTATAAGAACGCCTAGTGGTCAAACAAAGGATTTTCCTATAAAGATTGGACTACATCAGGGATCATCTCTGAGTCCTTATTTGTTCAACTTGATTTTAAATGTTTTGACGGAACATATTCAAGAGAAAATCCCGAAATGTATGCTTTTCGCGAATGATATAGTTCTTATAGCAGAGACAAAAGAAGAGGTTAATTGCAAACTTGAGTTATGGAGGAGGACATTAGAGTCGAAAGGTTTTCGTCTGAGTAGAAGTAAGACGGAATATTTATATTGTAAATTTGGTAAAGGAATATTCGACAATAATTTGGAAGTGAAATTAGGAGATCAAATTATACCTTAAGTGGAAAAGTTTAGATATTTGGGAGCCATTATTCAAAATGATGGCGAAATCAGCGGAGATATTTCACATAAAATTCAAGCTGGGTGGTTTAATTGGAGAAAAGCTAAAGGAGTTATTTGCGACCGTAAGGTGCCTAATAAACTTAAAGAAAAGTTTTATCGCACTGCTATCAGACCGGCAATGTTATATAGTAGTGAATGCTGGGCTCTAACGGGACAGCAAGAGCATAAAGTTGGAGTAACAGAGATGAGAATGTTACGATGGATGTGCGGACATACACGTAAAGATAAAATTCGAAATGAACACATACGCGAAAAAGTGAGGGTGGCACCTATTGAGGAAAAAATGGTAGAAAATCGGTTGAGATGGTTTGGGCATGTACAAAGAAGACCAAGGGAGGCACCAATGAGAAGAGTGGAACATATAACTTTGAGTCCGATTAAGAGAGGTAGAGGAAGGCCTAAGAGAACACTCTTGGAAGTTATTGAACACGATCTGTTAATTAATAATATTCCTAAAAGCTTGATAAATGATAGAGCAAAATGGCGTCTTGCAATCCATGTAGCCGACCCCACCTAGTGGGATAAAGGCTTGTTGTTGTTGTTGTTGTTGTATTGAAAGCGAAAAAGTCATGAGTAGAACTCAATTTTTCATTATAATTATCTGAGACAAGATGCTCATTAAATAATTTTTTTTACACTAAAACTTTAAAGTGTTAATATTGATAAATCAAGGACCATACCAAGTTCTTACACTTGTATCGCCCAGATGGTACAAGTATTGAACTTTTTCCTGCTTTTGATGATAGAGGTAGACGGAAACAACGATTCCGAGAATATACAGCAGTGTCCACAAAAAGTTGGCTTGAACATTCATCAGAGCTTGAATCCTTCTTCACAAACAATTTTTCAAATCTTCCATCCTTTTCCCTAGCATTTTGAACTCGTGAGCACATCTGATAGTTTGTAAGTCATCATGCAGCGAAAATAGTTAGTACTTTATGTAAGAAAGATGAACATAGATGCCATGTCATAACTCAAACCCTCCTTTTTTTTTGGTCAAATTCAAACCCTACTTTTAAAACATATAAAAGGAAAAAACAGCACATTGATCATCGAAGAACTTGAATTATTTACAAAATAACTCTAAAATACAAAGGTATCTCAAGTCACAAAAAAACAACCTCATCAAATATCATATATAAATATGCTTAGACAGTCAGACTTACTTCAAAAACAAATGCTCCTGCATGAGAGTTATCCTTAAAAGCAGATTTTGGTATGCGAATAATTAAATGTCGAGAGAACTTTTCTGCAGGTAAGATTAATTTAAGATAATAAGCATTCAAATTGTAATTCTGAAACACAAGACTTGGTGCCACAGCAGTTCTTTACAGGTGTGAACATTATAAAACAAAATTTGGGGCAAAACCTAAGGTCTAATGTGAAGTGATGGTCAAAATGATGAAAAGAACCTTGCTAAAGCAGTTAATACCTACTAGAGTGACACAAAAAAGGTTTTAATCATTCTGGAAACAAATATAACATACCAATAAGAACATTACATGTGTCTTAGATCAAGAGCCTAGACTCAAGTGACACTAAGAGGAGACTCAATGAAGCAAAATTTGATTCCTACTCCATCCATTTCCCCATTTCCAACTACTGGCCTTGTGCCTCCCTCCTTCATAACCAAAAATGGAATATTATATGTTTCTTACATCATTATACATTAAAAGAGCTGCAGATTATTCATTGTTCTTCCTTTCATAATTACTACATTAAGCATAAAAGGGGGAATGTGTAACATCCTAATTTCCTAATCCTATGATTAGTTGTTAATCAAAAGTAAATTGGTAATGATGAAGTGATTAAGGTTTTGAGTGATAATGTGATGATTGGACTTGTTGGGATGTTAAATGGGCAAATACAAGTGAGAGGATTGCGTTTCGGGTTGAAACAAGTGCATGTGGTGAGAATTCTTTTCACTGTGTTAAGGCGCATAGCCAAAAAATAACCCCATAAATCGTGAAATTTAGGTGATAGCGCAAGAAATTTTGGAGTCGTGGAAGGCACTTCTAATCAGTAACTTGTCAGTTAAACTATATATAACCCTTACCTTCCATTCTACTCAAATTTCTCTAAATATGAGTCATAGAGAAATTGAATTAATGAAATTTAAGGGGTTTGATTCTTGTCCAATAGTAATAAAAAAGTTCTCGAGAGTTAAATTAGAGCTTTACGATTGATTTAAAGATGAACAATAGAACTTTGAACCCGTAAACTCAATTTGGCCCCAATTCGTTGAAATTTTAGGGTGAAAATCTTGTTTAGCTGAAATGAGACCAATTAAGGTGATGTAAAGTGATAATCGAATAATAATAGACCTAGAATGGATAAATAAAAAAGAATAGACAGCTAAGTGTAGCCATAAATAGTAATTAAATAGTTTTGGTCAATTTGGACCAAATGACTAGTGTGCCAATTGTGTCTAAATTAGCGTATCAAAGGAAGCTTATAACGAGCTATAGTGATAGTTAAAATCCATGGGTAACTTTTTTAGTGACAAAAAAATTGAGATAACTGAATAACTTCCTTTATTTGACTATTTATTATAACTGTGTGTCCGTATGCTATATAGTACATGAAATTAGTTTAAACTAAGCATGTTTTATGACCTGGTGTGTATGTTGCATGAAAATGAGTTTTGGTTAGATAAACAAGTAAAATTGTATAATTTTATATATGTAAGTATACCTGAGTAAAGTGGTGATTGAAAATCAAAGTATAGTTCAGAAAGCATGATCATAAGGGTGAGAGTTCACCCATGTGCAATGCGGTGATAAGGGCACATGGCATATTCTCCTTAACGCCCGACGGGTTGTGGTGTTGGAGAATTGTATCTTCTTAGTGCCTCTCAAGGTGCGGCATTGGAGATTATTTTTTTGGTACCTATTGAGGTATGGTGTTGGACATTTGGACTTCTTAGTATATGTGTGATATGAAGTTGGAATCAATGACACCGCATTGTGTGTATTAGGAAAAACCATAGTCCAACAGTAAAATAGAACACCTTTGGCCGGGTGATTCTACCATTAAAGATGAGCTCAAAGCCAATGAGAGTGTATATTAGTCTACGGCGAGTCTATGGTTTCAAGTTGGAGTGATTTGGAAGTTCAGTTGATAATGATCATGCTTGTGTTAATAAAATGGTGAAAAGCAATGTAAAGGGATAAAATGTGAAATATTGATGTGATTTAAGAGAAACTTATGATGTATGTTATGTTTTAACTATATAATATGCTACACTTTTCCATATTTGGTGATAGTAGTCAGTAGTGAGTTATTCTGTTATTGAGATTTTTATCTCACCCCTGTGATTACATTTTTACAGGACAGAGCAGTGATCAAGGTAAGGAAAAAGAGTCTAGACCAGCATAATGGTGCCGTGGCTATGAAAGCTCTGAGTTTGTGTAATGAACTGAATCTTTAATGCAAATTGTATATATAAGTTGCCATAAGGTTATATGCATATTTTGAGTAGTGAAATAGAGAAAATTGTGGAGATTGTTGTGAATGTGTGAAATCTTAACCTAAATGCGTACATATGTGGTGAAATGAGAATCAAGGGCTAAGGTTTAGTTTTATATGTGTTGTGAATGTTCAAGTAGTGAATATATGGTGGAATTATGGTGAGAAAGGCCAAATGGACCAAATTGTGAAAAAGTTGGGAAATATAAAAATTAGCCATCGAAGGGTCAAATTTGTGTGTGTGTGTGTGTGTGGTTAATTAAATGTGATAGGTCCATTTAGACTTGGTTTAAAGCCTTGTGTGGTCTAATGAGAAAATTGAACAGATTTGTAAAAGACAACTTTTTGCACCCGAGTGTCCATATTTTGATCATACCGTTATATCAGGTCCAAGACTATCTCATTAGTTAGCTTATGAGTTAAACTTCGTGTAGGCGCTTGAATCATTTCGATTGGACGTCATATGTGAAAACGGCACAAGCCGAAAGTTTGTCATTTCTGCTATCAAATGACAAGAGCAAATTCGAACTGACGAGCCGCGGCGTATGACATAGAAGGTTAGGCATGTGGCTCTATGCCACATGCCGCAGCACATGTATTGCACGCCACGACACATGGCCCCTAATCTGATTTGATTTTTTTTTTTTGTAATTTTTGATGCATGCCATTGGTGTTATGAATGCATCACTTACTTCCGCTGTGTAATACTCAAATGTGTTGTGATTTCAATAGTTTTACAAAACAAGTCTTGAGTCCAAGCTTTTCAAACAAAGTACTTGTTTATTGGTTGTTATTGCGTATGTGGTGATTTGGTTAATTTTCTATATCGAGCGGATATAAGAGGTTGCAAAATGAATGTAGAGGTGCAAGCAAAAAAGTTACAGCATAGATAAAACAAAGCAATTGAACTTGAGAAAAATCTATACCATCAGTTGAAGAGTCCAGTTCTACTATCCATTCTGGGTCTCCAGAGATGAAATATTTTTCATTTAAGGCCTCTAGAACCACTAAGATCAAGAGATCCACCATATCATCTCCATTCTTTCCTGGATTGACTCTCTTATTGAACTCCAAATCAAAATAAATATGGCATGGTAAACCCTGAGAGCAGAATATCATTTAGAGTGTATGAGATCCAAAGATGAAAATCTGCCTAGCTGACTCATAATAGTACTGTATCACTTGCTTAGTGAAATCAATGACCATGAAACACACAAGACTATTACCTCTTGAATCACTTCATAATGATGACGCAATTTGGAATCCATATTTTTGTACCTAAATGTACATCAACATTGTGAAAATGCAGGCACAGAACTTCCATTAACAATAGAAGCAATAATAAATTAATCAAATGGCAGTGGAAACTACACGAAGGTAACCTTCTCCAGAACTCTGTATATGTAGACACGAGGAACCTTCTTTGTCCACTAAAATGGTCTTGATAACTGAAGATATGAAGATGGTCTTGTCCTTTGGCAAACTTCATTGCTTCCTCCTGCCTTGGAAATGTAACCCAAACCTCCTCCCTGAACATGCGTAAACCATGAGTAAAGCTCACTACTCACATTATGAAAAACATGGTACAAAAAGAATTCTCACTGAAACAATATAAACAGTAGATTAGCATCCCACACCTTAAATCTGGTTTATTTTTCTCAATGAGATCAAGACGTATCTCATGTAACAAGCGCCAGTAATGAACTGGTTTTTTGGGAGGTACTCCGTGTGGAGTTCCATAAAATACAACTGGAGAGAACTGTTTCCCAAGACCAAAACCATTTGCTTTTGCTATAGCTGATTTAATCTGAAAAGATAATGCAAGGTAAATTAGTTGGAAACAAAAAGCACAATTTAATTGCTCCACTGCATCAAAAGCAATGAAGAGTATAGGCCTTTCTTGAAGCATCAAGTGGTTGGCAGCAATTACAAAACAACATTAGTACAGCACAAAAACAAGGGGGTTGTAACTAAGCAAGTGGTAATTACTTTCTGAATGGAAGACTGTATGTCTTTTGCTTGGCCAGATGGAGAAATGGCAGAAGTTGTGGGACTTTTCCACTCCTTTTCAACTGATTTGGGAGATAGAAGGCTAGAATGTGATGAGATCTTATGTGTTGAACCTCCTTGATCCAATCTGCTTTTAGTTCTCTTTCTTTCCCTCATAGCAGATTCTGTGAAAACAAAAGTTTTTACGTCATTCATGGCAAAAGCATATTAAAGTGGGAAGGGTGAGGCTATTCACCTAACAGAAACTTACATCAAAATAAACAGCTGCGTGTTCTAGTCATTAATTTGATGAACAATTACCCATCTATCACTTGATAAGGAAAAAAAACTTGTTTGCTACACTTTTCTCAATTTGCTGCCACATAAATCACTTTGTTTCCTTATGAATTCTTTGTTTTATTCCATTTCAAAACGAATTAGATTAAATCATGATACTCGATAAAAGATAAGTTAAATGTTCAAAGAGAGGTCAAATTTCATTTAGATGCGTGAAAAATATTGAGAGCGCAAGATGCAAAAAATCAACTGGTCTGGATTGGCACTGTACAGCATAGAGGTAAAATAGGAGTAAGCGAGAATATACAGAAAGGGAGATCAATGAGAACAACAAGAAACACAAGAACAAAATGGAGTTGAAATGTAAGTAGGTACCCCAAAAAAGAACATGTTTTTACTTTTTAGCATAACAAAATTGTGATACGTTAGTTGATAAGTGTAGTCGCTCTTTAGAACGAAGAAACCAAATTAGCTAGATTAAAACAAAAATTCAAAAGCAATTTACACAATAAAATAAAAGGACAAAGGAACGAAGATTTGATTTCAAATATTAAGGACCTAATCCTACATAATCAACGATTTGTGCGAAGTGGCTAGAAGCTATAAGTTTTAGAAAGAAGTGAAAGCTTACGAGGAGGGGATAAACCGCACTTGAAGCACGCGAACAAACGATCAACATCGTCCATAGCGCTTGAAGACATTTCTCCTTTTCCCTGCAATGCTATGTCTGCTTCCCTTGGAACAGAATGAGTATCATTTTTATATTCTTCAATCTGTGGCATGGGCGGGAATTTAAATTTTTCAGGAAAGCTAAAATACGACGGTGTCGGTCCTGACACAATTTAATATATTTAAATTTTTAAATTATTAGTCTAGTCTATTTTAATGAGAGAATAAAAAAATACACTCTCAAATTATAAGACACTTTTAAAGAAGTTTTTCCGTCTCAAAATATAAGACACTTGGATATATTAATATTTCATTAAATGCATTAATTTCAATATTACTCTTTCTTTTTTATAATTAATTTTTATTTTTTCTCTTTTTAATATATTAAATTATGAGTATTTTTATAAGTTTATATTTTTTTAAAAAAATAAAGTTATTAAGTATATTTAATAAGATTTATTAATATATAAATTTTTTTTAAAATTTCTTATAATTTAAACGGAGAGAGTATTATTGAAATATGAGAATGCTACATAAAGACCATGAAAATGTTATAATAGCCCATGTAGTTCACTGAATCAAAGAAAAAATAATTTATAAAATAAAACCGCAAGCTTATATCTAGGATGCCACGTGTTCTCATATATATATATATATATATATTTTGTTTCATCCAAAAATAACTAACCTTTTAAATTTAAAATGGACCCATAAAAGTTCTTTATTTTTATATGCAAAATTTGAAATTTAATATATTTTCAAACTTTTTTAATATTGTTTCCACATTTTTAGATTTCACAATCATCCATGGTCATGATAACTTCCCATTATATATATATATATATATATATTTCGCAATAGGTTTTGTACTTTTTAAATGAACATACTTAAATGGAATTAATTCAAATTTAAAAACGAAATTAATGTATTTAAATCAATTTTATTTTCATAATAAAAATCTGACATAAGTTTCTAAAGTTTTATTTATTTTACAAAATATGTAAATTTAAATTATAATTTTAAATATAATTTTTAAAATTACATTTACTTTACAAAATGCATAAATTTAAATAAAAAATTTAAAGCAACCACCCACAAGATGGAAAATGGTCGTGGGTCTTGGAATTATCTTCCATCTAATATAATTTTTCAATAACATATATACAATATAATCAAATCATAAATTATATTCAATTAATATTTTATTAAAAAAAGATATAATGGTTAACAAATTCATCAGTATAATAACTATTTTAATATTGAATTTAGCTCATTTAAATAAAATTTAAACTATAGTTATGTGATCTAAATCCCTAATAATTTTTACTTTAATTATTAAATAATAATAATATATTTTTAAAATTAGTCATGTAAAGTTTAAATGTTTAAATCTTTGATTGTTACAAAATTTAAAATTTAAAACTTATGTGTCAAATGCTACTACTCACCGTATGCCATATTAATATTTAAATAGATATTTTTTTAACCATCCAAATGCCATATGAATTTCTTTTTTTGACTCAGCCAGAATCAAGTAAGCTTTGTATTAGAAAATTGAAATAAAAAGAAAGTGCAATATTGATTCGTTTCTCCAGGAAGCTTCTAATCATTCTTATGGTATTATGAGAGGATTTTTTTTGTTGGCTCATCAAAGCCGTTTTAGCTTGAAAATTTTTTTTTTTTATTCTTCACCTCAAGACTTGAATGAGGAGACTAAGATACTCTTTACCATCAAGCCCAAAATTGAAATGGCAGGTTTTTAATTGGGAGAATGACAATTAAGGACCTGCTAAGAACATTAATCTTAATTACGGACCGTGAAATTTTGAAATCAAAGTTAAGGACCATGGTCCTTAATTGTGATAAAAAAATGTAATTTGTGATGTGGGATTTACTAACGCGACTTGGGAATTGACTAACCCAACTTGAGAAAATTACTAATGTATATTGTAAAAACATGAAACCCCACTTGGGAATGGAATGTTTAACAAAAAGCGCCACTTGGGAATTCACTAACTAGACTTGAAAAAATTTCTAACGTATATTGTGAGTGAAAAAATGAAACCCCACTTGAGAATCATTGATAAAAAGTGACTTATCTAAATTGGTGTTTTTTATTAAACAATCAATTCTCAAGTGAAGTTTCATGTTTTCACAATATACGTTAGAAATTTTTTCAAATCTAGTTAGTGAATTCTCAAGTGGCGCTTTTTGTTAAACATTCCATTTTCAAGTGGGGTTTCATGTTTTCACAATATACGTTACAAATTTTTTCAAGTCTAGTTAGTGAATTCCCAAGTGGCAATACTGAATTCCACCTCACAAATTACATTTTTTTAATCACAATTAAGGACCATAGTCCTTAACTAGGATTTCAAAATTTCACGGTCCGTAATTGGGATTAATGTTGGTAGCAAGTCCTTAATTGTCATTCTCCCTTTTTAATTTACTATCAACACGAATATTAGGATATATTAGAAACAAATGGAAATAAATATCAAAAAATAAAGAAACATATGGAAATTGGCTGGCCCAAAACAATTCAACCTTCTCTAGTTATAAATGCTAGTTATAACAAGAAGTTGAAAAGGGGGGACCCAAAATTACATCAGATTCTGATGCCCCCCGATATGCATTTGGAAGCTCAATTTCACCACAGGAATGACAAACTCTGCAGAGGATTCTCCCTCACCTTCACGATGCATCTTGTTGCTGTCGTAGCTTGCCACCGTCGAAGACATGCGACTTGACTGGAGAGATGACATTGACAAAGCAAAGACCCTCCTACACTATGATGAAGCAAAAGAGAAGCCATCCTCCCTTTTGTTCCATTTGCTTCTAGGTTGATTCTCAATATATGGCTAACAATCTAATTAGATCATATATTATATTTAATTAATATTTTATTTTAAAAAAAGATATAACGGTTAACAAATTTATAAAATATAATAATTGTTTAAATATTGAATTTAGCTCATTTAAATAAAATATGCTTAAACTACGATTATACCATCTAAATTTTACTTTAATTATTAAATAATATATACTTTTAAAATTAGTCATTTTTAAACGCATGCCATGTGACCCCCAATTGCCTCCCATACTTCCCCCTAATACAGTTATCCCCATCAACCCACGTTATCTCTCACAACCCACCTATTACAGTTATCTCCAATGAAGCCACAATGTGAGAGAGGTTATCATGAGTTTAGCTTTTTGCAGCTGGTATATTTCACCCAAATGGGCAATCTTATTTCTATGTTGGCCTTCTATTATTGCATGCAATACTCTAATGTCTCATATGGCTACCTTTCATGCTGTGTGAGATATTGATAGCACCCATAAACAATGGAAAATCAAAGTTTGAATAGTTTGATTATGGTTTGTGACTGTTGTTAAGATGCAAGATGATGATTCTACGATTGAGATGGTTTTCCAAGATGAATCGGTATATGCTTTATCAATTGTATTAATTTCTTTTGCATGTACTATCATATCTTCTAACACCATTGTTGTTTATGAATTGATAGGGTGATCATATAAAAGCTTATATCTGTCAGGGTATAGCTAAACATTACAAAAAGTGGCTAAAGGAGGGGAGAGTTTTTGTGATTACCTAATTTGGAGTCGGTATAAACGCTAGCTTATATCGGACAACACAACACACGTACAAGATTCTTTTTTCAATTTTCAACATCTATTAAAGCATTCCATGATACAGGGAATATATACCCATATAGTTTCCACTTTACAAAGTTTGTAGATATTTATCTCTTCTAATATCCTCCTCCTAAATATCTCATAATTAAAACCAAATCCCAAGTAATTAAAGAATGGGATTATAGTAATTATCAAAATACAAAGTTTTCAATGGTTAGCAAAATGGGGACCCTAAGTTTACAAAACTAAAATCCTTTTTAAGTCTTGCAACTAGACAAATCAGAGTTCATAAATATGCGGAAGCATGAGGTCATTGCATAAATGAGTGCATTTGTTTAGTAATTTAAAATAGGAGAATTTCTGGAAAATTTTAAGGCGTGTGCCGCAACTCGTTAAACATACACCGCGACGTGTTCACCTTTGTGACATGTGTCATAGCTCGTGGTACCATGCGCCATGGTGCAATTGCACAAATTTTGATAGTAAATTCTGTTGTCAATTTGACAGCATTGGGGCCAACTTTCGACGCACCCCTAATCTCCGTCTGACGTCCAAATGATGCGAACTAGGTGTCCGCAGAAAGCTCTTTCTGAGCTCTAACTAATGGCATTAGTCTCATACTCAAATTATTTCTAAACAAAAATTGGACACCCTTTTCAAAACTTACACTTTTACAATAATTTTTGCAAAATCAAGTGTCCTAACCAAATACCATAGGCCAATAGCCACCAACACCAATTTGACCGCATTCAAATCATTAAGACTAACTCATGCAATGCACCATATCACATGAAATACTCCCAGATCAAATTTTTATTACTCAACCCCTTAAACTCAAAAACATAAAAAGGGAGAGTTTACCATAATTTTTATCAAGTTCTCCAAATCATCTTATAATATGCTCTACTCTTACTTGCATTAGTATTTAGGCCCTATCACAATAACACATATTCATTAACTCACTCTTTAGAGCCCAAAATATACTTACAATTCACAATTCACATAATGCAAGTAAGGAACAAATGAGAATTCCTAATTGACAATTGAAATTGTCATACACATATAATTACTCAGAACAAAGAGGCCTACTACAAAAGGATCGTGGTCCTAAGCCTCTGGGTGTTTCCCTCTATCTACACCTCTTAAATTATTCCCTGTAATATTAAAGATAATGGGGTGAGTACAACTACTTAGTAACCAAGGTCCGACTAACCCATATTAATGCATATCAATTAGTTTAAATGCAAGTGACAGTTAATGTCAATACTTTAACCCATATAAAACATTTGAAAATAGACATTCACAATTCCACTCACATGATAGCATATAAAGAGAGTTGATAAAAATAAACAATGGAAGAAACAATGCTTTTTAGCACT